AAGAAGAAATCGGGTGGGAGGTGAGAGAGAGAGGAGATTTATTTTTTAAATTTTTGTGTGAAAAAGACATTTTTGCCCATGCTAAGTAGGAATTGTCCATGCCATGTCATCATTTTTAACATAAAAGTTGACAGAGATGACAGAAAGGAGGATATCAACAAGTGGAGGCATAATTAAAGTATCACTGTAACAATTTATCAAAATGAGGGACAAAAAGTAAAGTTTGGTCTTAGTCGAGGGACCATTGCTACAATTTAGCCTATAATTTATATATGCCAAGATTTAGACAAGAAGGAAAGGAAGAAAACAAATTGAATTCAAATGATTTCTTTCAGATGTAATCTAATTATTTTAAACACCACGCCCGTGGGCCTTTAGGCTCGACCTCTTGGCACAGTCTTGATTTTGGGCCTAACCTTTTTAGGCCCGACTTTAATCCACTAGGTCTTTAAATCCAGGTCAGTTTCTCTGAAGTGGGTCTCAAGAGGAAAATTCAGGTATAAGATGATGTCTCGGTGCATTGTCATCATTTCATTTTATGTGAAGAATTTGGTGTGATGCCCCCTTTTTGCAAATTAATAGCTATGAATTTTCCACATTATCAACAAATGAATTCACAAAATCAATACACCAATCAAAACAATTAAACTACAAGATAAAGCATCTCCAACAGACTCTTCAACAGCTTTGAAATTATAAAATCAGTGAGCCACATCAGACAAACTCTCTCCAACAGCCTCTTCAACCTCAGTCATCAAAGTTGCAACCTCTTTCTCTCTCTTCAAGACTAGTAAGTTGACTTTGGCTCTTCAAACATTTAATTTTACTTTGGAAAAACAAAACCTACCTTAAAATGTTAAAAACATGCATTTTTTCTTTTCATATAATAAATACATAGATATTTTTCACATGTTTTCATATTTTTCTTTCTTTTCTATAGTATTTCATTAATTGAATTGAAGAGTATGTTATCATCTCTCTCTCGTCGCAAACCCTCAATTCTCCTTTCTCTTTAAGCACGGCGTGATAGGGGAGGGGGAAGAGGTCACTCCTCTTCCTCCTCCCCCTCATCCTCTATCTTCCTTTCTCAACTCTCCTTCTCCTAACTTTCTACTCTCCTTGTGGGGAAAACTTGACTGGATTGTGGAGAAGGTGGAGTTTAGGGGATGGGAAGTTTAGATCTGTATCTAGATCTACATGGATCTTGGATTTTCTGGCCAGATC